GCCGTAGAGCTTTGTGGAGGCCGATTCAGCAACGAAGGTGGTCGTTCAACGGTGGGAGTTCCGGTTGAGGTGATGTTGGCAGTTTCACATTATTCCTTTTTCTGTTCTTCTTGGATTTAATAATCTTGCTTATAACCTGCAGGTTGTAAGAATAATAACTGGAAAAAGATGTGGTAAGTTAATGTTGTGTTGTGGATGTTATTGTGAGTGTTTGGTTCACAAGTCAGAGCTTGAAGATCAATGTAAACCAATGAAATTGATTGTGGAAGGTAAAATAGAAGCTGTTGTTAATTCGTTTGAAACTACGGATCGATCGGTGTTGTTGGATTATTGAAGTTGTGGTGCATTTTTGAATTGTGGAGTTTTTTTCAATTTTTTGCAGATGTGTGGATGAACGAAATTAAGAGAGTCAGAAGCTAGAAAGGGTGTCACGAAAGTGAAGAGGAACTTTTTTTGTTGGGATTTTGCAGTCTGTTGCTAAAAAAATGGGTAATTTTTCTGTGTTCTCCTTTTGATGCAATGTCTTCTCCTTTATAATGGGACAATCTGGTTTTTTTGGTGTGAACAAGTTTGGTTTTTGAATAAACATTATATTACGTTACCGTTTTTTTGGATTGTTATGACAGGTTGGTAGCAAGTTTTAGTACGGCAGCAGCATGACTAGTTGACAGCAGCATAACATGGATATATTGTAGCATGAAGAGAATGGTCCCAAACTGATTTCTTATTATGACAAAACAACAAAAACTATTGAAACACAATAATAATAATAATAATAATAATAATAATAATAATAATAATAATAATAATAATAATAATAATAATAATAATAATAATAATAATAATAATAAAAGGAAAAAGATTAAACTAAAATTTGCAAAGAACAATAAAAAAGAAATTATAATTAATTTTAATTTTAACAATAACCCAACTCAACAATTGAATTAAAATTAGAATCAAATCAAGACTAATATTGAAAGAAAGAAGCAAAAATTATAATAACTAAAATAATAAAAGGAAAAGATATTAACTATATATTTTATGATTTTGAATTAAAGTGAAATGCTAAAATAAAATAATGATAACACATATTTTTTTTGAGATTTTTTTACTAAATTAAATCTAAAAGATTATAATTTTGGCCTAAATGATACAAGAACAAAAACTAAATGAAACTTAAGGAAACTAATTTTTTTATTTTGAATATTTTGAATAAAAACATAAATAAAATGAAAATAGCATGAACTAAATATTTTTTAGGATTTTCTTTTTATGGAAATAAGAATAAAAGAAAGATGATGTAAAATGTATGGTCGAACAAAACATAGTCCAAAATTAAGAATCAAATTCCTGAAACGACTTCTAACGTTAACAATTTTCGTGGCTTCTCAATGCATAATTTGCCCTTGACTTGTAAAGGAAAGTTGTAGATGATGTCAAGAAAAAACAGGTGCAAGAACAACCTCTCAAAAATGTCGAAATTCGAAGAAGTTATGAATTCTTGAAATCTGATCCGAGAAATGGCAAAAAAGGTCGAATCGCTTGTGAACACTCGCTATGTTATAATGCAGATGGGAGGTGGGATCTTAGGTCAAAATTTGGGGTACAACAGCTGCCCCTATTTAAGTTCCTTCTATCCGGAGATATGAAGATTAAAATCTTCGTTTCAACGAGATTGAAGGTACTTAAATACATAATTACGCAAATTTTGTCCTAAGATGCCATCATCATGCAGTGATATGAATGTAGTGCTTGAATTCACAGAGAAAGATATTGTACGAAACAAGACAATGCTGGAGGAATCGAACACCAACAAAACACAGAGACATGAATTATAAGCTACTGGGGAAACGAGCTATCGACTTCAAACGACAGACTCCTGACAGCGAATAAAATTGAGGGGATACGACCTCTGACCCTAACAAAGAAGGCGTCTTGCATAGGCCGTAAATATTATTGACCCAAAACAGTGAGTTCACAACCCAAGGTCGAAGATAGACAAAAAGTATCGAATTTGCTGATGACGGGTTACCGACTTCTGAAGGTAAAATTCATAACAAACTTTCTCCGCGAGATTTCCGGAGCTATACTCATTGATGCTGAGATAATAAGATTGTAGATACACAAGCTGCTCAAATAAAGAAGCTGCCACTTGCTGTCTTCCAAAAATATTATGACATACAAGCTGCTCAAATAAAGAGGCTGCCACTTGCTGTCTTCCAAAAATATTATGACATACAAGCTGCTCAAATAAAGAGGCTGCCACTTGCTGTCGTCCAGGGATGTCAATAACACACAAGCTGCTCAAATAAAGAAGCCGCCACTTGCTGTTTTCCAAAGAAAATACCAATAACATACAAGCTGCTCAAATAAAGAAGCTGCCACTTGCTGTATTCCAGAAAAATAATAACGTACAAGTTGCTCAAATAAAAAGACTGCCGCTTGCCGTTTTCCAAAGATGATAATAACGCACAAGTTGCTCGTGAAGAGCTGCCGCTTATCGTTTTCCAACAATGTCTATAACGTACAAGTTGCTCATGAAGAGACCGTCGCTTGTCGTTTTCCAATAATAATAACGCACAAGTTGCTCGTGAAGAGCTGCCGCTTGTCGTTTTCCAACGATGTCTATAACGTACAAGTTGCTCATGAAGAGACTGCCGCTTGTCGTTTTCCAATAATAATAACGCACAAGTTGCTCGTGAAGAGCTGCCGCTTGTCGTTTTCCAACGATGTCTATAACGTACAAGTTGCTCATGAAGAGGCCGCCGCTTGTCGTTTTCCAATAATAATAACGCACAAGTTGCTCGTGAAGAGCTGCCGCTTGTCGTTTTCCAATAACAATAATAACGCACAAGTTGCTCGTGAAGAGCTGCCGCTTGTCATTTTCCAACGATGTCTATAACGTACAAGTTGCTCATGAAGAGCTGCCGCTTGTCGTTTTCCCAAAATAATTCAGAAGGAAACTGCGATGATATTGGCAGAGAATAAAAATCTTCGCCAAAGAGAACCCTGAATCAATCCTTCTGAGGAGATCACATACTTAAATGTGCAAAATAAATGCACCAACTGTCTAGGTCGCAAACTCACTGGGGAAAGTTAAAGAGATAGCCTATACAAGAGGCAACAACTTCATCTAGGAATAAACCAGAGAGAACACAGTCAAACAAGACTCCACCCAATGAGAAAATAACTCGATTGGGGGAATTTATCCTATCCAGAAATGGACAAGGTAAGCTAAATCAAAAATCATCCACGAGGATTAGCTCAGTTGGGGAATTTAGAAAGGAAGCACATTTTCTGCCTAAGCTAACCTTCTACTTGGAAGGACAAGAATGTACATTGTTCGAATAAACAAAGTACGACCCAAAATCAATGGCAAACGTGGTATGCATGCTGATATGAGTGTAAATGAGCAAATGAATGTTATGCTGACAAAACAGACAGATGGAATATCTTGAAGATAATATGCTATCACAGCAAAATAGATACTCGGCCAATCCTGAGAAGACGGATTATACCCGGAACTGGAAACACAGAGCAATGTCGGAGCGTAACGCTACAAGGCTCAAGTCTTTTGAGGAGAAAAGTATTCAAATCCAAACTTACAACACCAATAAACCACTGGCATGAGACAAAGTGTACCGCACTTCAGGGTCTCCCCAAACAAAGGTATCCCAAACAACACTTAACTGGAGCAACTGGGGAGTCACCAAACTTAATACCACTAGAAACACAAGTTTAACACAACCAACACCTCATGACGATTCGAAAGAAAACAGGTTCATCAAACAAGTATAAGTTACTGCACTATTTTGCATTTCATGGCTTGACCATCTTCAGAACGACTGTTAATATTCCTTTCGTTATTCACGACACTTTTTTTTTTAAAATAAGGATATTTTAAATACTTTGTTTCGAATATTGCCGTAAAAATTAAGATTTTGCCCACAGAAGGTAAATGCTCAAATTTCATTAATAAGATGGTAGTTCGCTAACAACGCAACTCCAACGGTTTACAAAAGTTTGGGAAATAGTACATGAAAGAAAAAAGTTACACATAAACAATGATCACTATTCTCCCTGACAACTTTGAATTTCAAAAATATGTTCAGATGCCAAGACTGATCTGACCAAAAGCCTGCCTAAGCGAAATACTTCTTGACTGCATCAGCGTTCATGGGACGCGGAAGATCTTCACCGTCCATATTGGTGAGAATCAAAGCACCTCCAGAGAAAACTTTCTTAACAACATACGGTCCTTCATAATTCGGAGCCCACTTGCCCCTTGAATCAGGTTGGAAAGATAATATTTTCTTGAGTACAAGGTCACCTTCTCTGAACTCGCGCGGTCGAACCTTCTTATCAAAAGCCTTCTTCATTCTCTGCTGATACAATTGACCGTGACACAAAGCTGTCAATCTCTTCTCTTCAATTAAATTCAACTGATCATACCTACTTTGACACCATTCAACCTCAGAAAGTTTAGCTTCCATCAACACTCTCAGAGACGGAATCTCAACCTCCACGGGGAGTACTGCTTCCATACCATAAACCAGGGAAAATGGAGTTGCACCTGTTGAAGTTCGAACTGAAGTACGGTACCCGTGTAAAGCAAACGGAAGCATTTCATGCCAATCCTTATAAGTCACCACCATCTTCTGGACAATCTTCTTGATATTCTTGTTAGCAGCTTCAACAGCCCCATTCATCTTCGGCCTGTAAGGAGAAGAATTATGATGTTCGATCTTGAACTCTTCACAAAGCTCTCTCATCATCTTGTTATTCAAATTCGAACCATTATCAGTGATGATCTTGCTCGGGATACCGTATCGACAAATGATCTGATTCTTGATAAATCTGACTACCACATGTCTGGTTACATTAGCATAAGATGCTGCTTCCACCCACTTAGTAAAATAATCGATCGCTACCAAGATGAAACGATGACCATTTGAAGCTTTGGGTTCAATCATCCCAATCATATCAATGCCCCACATAGAGAAAGGCCAAGGTGAAGAGATAACATTGAGGAGGGTCGGCGGCACGTGCATCCTATCCGCATAAATCTGGCATTTATGACATTTCTTCACATACTTGCAACAATCAGATTCCATTGTCATCCAATAGTAACCAGCTCTCAACATCTTTCTAGCCATTGCATGTCCGTTGGCATGAGTGCCAAAGGATCCTTCATGTACTTCTTGCATTAGCATGTCTGCTTCACGTCTGTCTACATATCTGAGCAAGACCATGTCATACTTCCTCTTATACAAAACTTCTTCATTGAGAAAGAAACTGCTTGCTAATCTTCTCAACGTCTTCCTATCTTTATTGGATGCCCCAGGCGGGTACTCTTGAGTTTGAAGAACACGTTTAATGTCATGGAACCACGGTTTGTCGTCGGTAATCTCTTCTACTGAGAACACATGAGCAGGTCTGTCGAGACGCATAACTCGGATTGTAGGCACGTCGTTCCAATCATTTACTTGAAACATTGAAGACAAAGTAGCCAAAGCATCAGCCATTTGGTTCTCATCTCTAGGGATATGATGTAATTCCACCTTGTTAAAGAAAGTTAGCAACCTTCTAGCGTAGTCTCTGTAAGGGATCAAACCAGGATGACGAGTCTCCCATTCTCCTTTGATCTGATTAATCACCAATGCCGAATCTCCGTACATATCAAGAATTTTAATCCTTAGGTCTACTGCTTCTTCGAGACCCATAATACATGCCTCATATTCCGCCATGTTGTTCGTGCAGTCGAACTTCAGTCTCGCCGTGAATGGGATATGAGTACCTCGGGGAGTAACGATGATTGCCCCAATTCCATTTCCATAGGAATTCACAGCTCCGTCAAATATTAAACCCCAACGGGATTCAGGATCAGGTCCTTCTTCAGGTAACGGCTCTTCACAATCTTTAGCTTTCAAGTACATAACATCTTCATCCGGGAAATCAAACTTGATGGACTGATAGTCTTCAATTGGTTGGTGAGCCAAATGATCGGCTAAAATACTCCCTTTGATCGCTTTCTGAGTGTGATACTCAATGTCATATTCAGATAACAACATCTGCCAACGGGCTATTCTTCCAGACAAGGCGGGCTTCTCAAAGATATACTTGATCGGGTCCATTTTGGAGATCAACCAAGTAGTGTGATTAATCATATACTGGCGCAGACGGCGAGCAGCCCAAGCTAAAGCACAACAGGTTTTCTCAAGCAATGAGTATCGAGACTCACAGTCTGTGAATTTCTTACTCAAATAATATACAGCATGTTCCTTTCTTCCAGTCTCATCTTGTTGACCAAGCATACATCCCATGGAGTCTTCCAATATAGTCAGGTACATAATCAACGGTCTTCCTTCCACCGGAGGAATCAAAATGGGAGGTTCAAGCAAATATTCTTTGATGCTATCAAAAGCTCTCTGACAATCTTCTGTCCACACACACCCTTGGTTCTTCCGGAGAAGCTTAAAAATCGGCCCACAGGTAGCAGTCATATGAGATATAAATCTAGAAATGTAGTTCAGTCTCCCAAGGAATCCTCTTACTTGTTTTTCTGTCTTGGGTGCGGGCATTTCCCGAATAGCCTTGACTTTATCCGGATCTACTTCAATGCCTTTCTGACTGACAATGAAACCCAGAAGTCTTCCAGAACGAACACCAAAAGTGCACTTGTTGGGATTCAGACGGAGTTTGTACTTTCTCAAACGCTGGAATAACTTCAACAGATGTTCCAAGTGATCCTCCTCAGTTTGTGATTTGGCAATCATGTCATCCACATACACTTAGATCTCCTTATGCATCATGTCATGGAACAAAGCAGTCATGGCCCTTTGGTATGTTGCACCAGCATTCCTCAAACCAAACGGCATAACTCGATAACAAAATGTTCCCCACGGTGTAATGAAAGCTGTCTTCTCCATATCTTCTGGTGCCATCTTGATTTGATTGTAACCAGAAAAACCATCCATGAAAGAAAAGACTTTGAACTTGGCGGTACTGTCGACCAATACGTCAATATGAGGTAATGGGAAATCATCCTTCGGACTAGCTCTATTCAGATCTCTGTAGTCTACACACATCCGAACTTTGTCGTCTTTCTTAGCAACAGGCACGATGTTGGCTAACCACTGAGGATAGACCGACGTAACAAGGAAACCTGCATTGATCTGTTTTTGAACCTCCTCCTCAATCTTGTCAGCCATGTCGGGACGAGTCCTTCTCAATTTCTGCTTGATCGGTGGACACTCAGGTCTCAACGGTAAATGATGCTCCACAATGTCATTGTCCAACCCTGGCATATCTTGGTAGGACCAAGCAAACACGTCAACATACTCTTTGAGAAGCTCCAACATTCTCTCTTTAACCTCCGGGATAAGCAATGCTCCGACTTTGACTTCCTTTCTAACCTCTTCATCACCCAAGTTGACCAACTCTAAAGGCTCTTAAAATGGTTGAATGATCTTCTCATCATGCTCAAGCAAACGGGAAATTTCAACAGGAATCTCTTCACTATCCTCTTCTTCGGCTCTGAGCACAGGGAATTCAAAGTTGGGAGAGGGCATAGGATCATTGTTTTCGATGGTTAAGTCATGGATTAATCTGCACATATGATTATGCTTTATTTTAGAAATCGATTTGTGCAAATAAAACAAAAGGTTATTATATTTCCTATTACTACCAATTAATTTTCATTACTATTTCCAAAAAAGTGAAAAATAAAACAGTAGTGGACAAAATAACATTTTTATTCATTGAAGGAAAATACTTGAAACAAAGAGCCCAGACACTTCTCTTTTGCCTTGGGCAGAGCAAAAGGAATTATTTTTCATAGCCCGACACAAAATACTCTTCGCCTTGTGCAGAGCGAATTTTTCAAAGAAAAACAAAGCAAAACATTACTCGGAAATATGCATAACGACAGGAACATCAACAGCTATCCAGTTTTGGCAAGCCAGTCCAGGCGTCACAAAATCCAGTTTTAGAAGACATGTGAAGTGTTGGATGATGCATGATATGCAAAAGAAAGTTTTTATTTGACTTTCACGGAACTCAAGATATTAAGTTGTAAACATCAAAGTGTGAAGATAGAAGATGAATTTTGAATTGGATCAAAGCGTCGATCAAGTTATCATCAAGATCAATCATCCATTTTGGTGGATTAGGGTTTTCACCCTATCAACACCCAAGATCCATTGAGCTTGACGAAACTTGTGATGTTTACAAAGAAAGACCTCCAAATTCCTTGAAAGTCAAGGGAAAAGGGTTTTATGGATGCATGAATGCATGGCTATGCAACAACCACAAGCAAGGTCACAAACATGGGGTTAAAAGGTTCAACATTCCGCATGGAGTCGAGGGTAAATCCCACCCCAAGGTATGTACTAATGGTTCAATCACACCTGTAAGACAAGGTTCTAAGAGTTCCCAGAGTCTACATTCCTCCTTCGGATATTACCAACGTCTTGATTACTCAATAATTAGCAATATTCTCAAGAGAAACTCGTCCGAGCGTAGCATCGCGTAACAACTACTTCTGAATTACTCCGTTATAGTCTCCGCGCTACACCTAAAAAGGCCAAGATGGGTTAGGGTTCTACGGTCTTCAACTTCTCGGGCTCCTAGGTCGAAAATAATAATGTCTTCCCGATTACTCGGTAAACAAATATTAAGTTCAAGAGGGCCTTCCATTGAGTGGGGGATCTCATGCCTCCTTCTTCGGGATTACTCCCTCAAAGTTAACATGACTGTACCGCCCGTCCTATTCCTTAAGTGTAACTTAATCCGGGTATAGGATTCTTCCTTTGCAAAAAACCCAAACAACCCCAATTTAAACACATAATCAAACAAATCAAATAATAATAAAACAGATAAAACAAATTAGGCTTAACCCACTTAGGGATGGACCAGCAAGAGGTCAATCTGTCCCCAGCAGAGTCGCCAATTCTGTAGCGATAAAAAATGTAGCGGGGTAAATCGGAGATCGAATTATTGATTAATTCGTCTCACAAAAGCAAGAGTCGCCACCGCGCTTTATTGTTTCCAAAGGAAGAGGGAAAAGAGCGAAATAAAACCCTAAATATGCAATGTAAAATAATACTTTCTAAAAAGTAATAAAAATACAAGGCGTTTTTGAAAAGAGATCTATGGTTCGGGGGTTGGTTATACAGTGGGAAGGTATTAGCACCCAATGTATCTATAGTACTCTATAGGAACCTTTTGAAATATCTGTTTATTAAAATTGTTCGTTCGATTAAAAAATAAATTGTTTTGGCCGAAAGGGGGTACGGACGGGTTTTTGAAGGTACGACGACCTAATGTCGAAGTTTTGACTTAAAAGGTATAAGTTTTGAAAAGATTGAAGATCTGGAAAAATTATCTTAAGTTTTTGATGAATGAGGGTATTCGCACGATGTTTTTTTTGATGACATAAAGTCGACAAAAATTAGACAATTCCCTTGGATTGGTGTCGAGCAAGTAAAATAAGATGAATCCACAAAGTATAAGCATTCAAAAATTCACAAGAAAACAAATCTAATGAAACAGATTAATGACCAAAAGCATCGAGAAATTAAAATGACAAAGATATTTAGATAGAAGAAAAGGGAACTAATTATCTAAGTCAAAATTATAAGATTACTTACTAAAATAATTCTGAACTAATTTGTTATCTAAAGTTATAAAAATAATTATAAAATTGCTACGCTAGATCTAAACTAAATTAAAATTTTAATATTAGAAAATTAGATCTACTAAATAAAAATTCCAAGGTTGCTAATCTAAAACAAAAAAAAAATTCCAAAATTACTAAACTAAATCTAAATCAAATAAAGTTCTAAAGTCCCTAAACTAAAACTAACAACTAAAATTCTAAAGTTAACTTAAATAAAAACAAATAAAATTCTAAAGTTTACTAAATTAAAACTAAAACAAATAAAATTCTAAAATTTACTAAGTCAAATCTAAATGAAATAAAATCCTAAAGTTACTAAAATAAAACTAAAACAAAATAAAATTCTAAAGTTTTACTAAGTCAAAACTAAAACAAAATAAAATTCTAAAGTTTACTAAGTCAAAACTAAAACAAATAAAATTCTAAAATTTACTAAGTCAAATCTAAATGAAATAAAATCCTAAAGTTACTAAAATAATACTACAACACATAAAATTCTTATATTTTTTAAATAAGGTTAAAGAGTTAACAAAACAAAAAAAAATAAAAAAAGAACCTCACAAGGACTTGAACTCAGGACCTTTTAGATTGCTGGTAACACCTTTTACCAATTGAGCTAATACTGTTTATTCATTAATAGCACAAGTTAATAAGAACATAAAG